GACTAATTTCAGGTGTCACCTAAGCTGGGCTCTGGTGCCAATATTTAGTCAAACATCTTCTGGATGTTCCTATGATGGTGTCTTTGCATGACTTTGATATTCATTATATGAGTGGGCCTCATCCCCTCAATGAGCTGAAGGCCTCCAAAGGACAACAAGGAGCAAGAGGAATTCTGCCAGCAGATGGCTTTTGGAGGTAAATCGCCCCCTGGGCTCTTCCCTGGGTCTCCCACCTGCCAGCCTGGTCTGCAGATTTTGGACTTGCCAACCTCTATAGTCACAGAAGACAATCTTTATAATAAATTCCTCTTTATACATTTTGTTGGTCTGCTTCTCTGCAACACCCTAATACAGAGTCTTCCCATTTGTATTTAAATATGCTTTTAAGTCTATTCCATCTTTAAAAAGTCCTTCCTCAAGCCCCCGGCCCACCCACTTCTCACTCTCTTCAAGGCCACATCTTCCAGGGGCGGTCTCCCCTTCTGTACCTCCTCACTGGCAAAGCACTCTAATCTGGATCCCCTCCCCAGCTGTCCTCAAAAAGGCTGAGTGAAGGTCAGTGGTATCCATGTGGACGAAACCAACAAATGCACCGTTCTCCCTCGTTGACACTGATGGTGAGAAACTCGCGGCTCGGTTTGTGCGGCCTGGTTTTCTCCCACGCTCTGGCTCTTCTCCTCTGTCCAAATCTCTCAGTGCTGCAGGTCTCTGGAGATCTTCCTGGGCCTTCTTTCTTCTTTTTCTCTCCCCCTAGGTCATGTCACCCATGCTATGGCTTCACCTACTGCCTGTTTGCTGACTATGCCCCAAACCTGTACTTCTTCTGAGTTCCAGACACATGTATCCAATGGCCCATTCAACACTTCACCCGGGCTGTTCAATAACTGGCTGTCCCTCAGAAATGGGCCCATCATCGAGAAGCAACCTAGGAGTGACCTTGGACATTTTTGGTGACATATAGTATTACTCAACTTTATTTTCTGGGTAGTTTTCAAATCCCCATCTTCATCACAAACTAGGTTTTATCCACAATCTCTTCCCTCTGAGAACGCTCATGTATATAGATTCTCCCAGTGTTCTCTCTCCTAACACGTCCTAACAACTTGTACAATTATTTACTTCCTGTTAGATGAAAAATTCCCGTGTCTGTTGTCCAGTCATAGATGACATTTATCTTTCCTTTTGACTGCCCAGCATCTGAACTCCCCCCCCCCCCTTTTTTTCAGGCAGGTTGCTGGTTGAACCCACGGCCTTGCACATGCTAAGCATGCAGGTTCTATCCTGGAAGCATCAATCACTCCATGAATCCTGGTGTTGAAGGTACCTCCTCTCACCTTCCCAGCCTCTCTGGCAGGTAGAACACAAGCAATTCCCCAATCAGGTGTCAGTAAAAGGATTGACTCAAGACCTGGTGACACTGGGGGAAGGGGCTGAGAAATCCATTTCTCTCCTTTGGGCAGTAGTGGTGGCAGGGGGTGCAAGGTGGGCTCCTGGGGCTGATGCAGCTGGGTATGGGGAGGTTCTTGGGTAGAAATGAGCAGGCAGTAACCGTGCAGCAGTTCCCATCGTGCTGCTGAGTGCCACCCCAGCCCTCGGTGCCCCTGGCAGCTTGTGACCTTCTGACAGACCATACTGTGCATACTGGTGGACTATACCAGAATCTCCCAGAGTTGTCCAATAGAGAAGATGGATCTGGTGTCCTGGCAGAGTCCCTGAAATGGAGCCAGTGTGGACACGACAAACAGGTGCTGGTTAACAGAATGTATCCAACACAGGAGTCGTGGATGCTTGCGTGGACTAGATTCCTTACCCTTACATATAATTAATTCCCAAAACTCACATCCATTTACATGTAAATGGCAAAAAAAAAATTCACAAAAGTAAAACCAGTGGAAAACACCATTATCAGTTGATATTGGAAATTCCTTTCAAGTTGTGCTCACTGCACAGTAATACATGACTTCTTTTCCAATGAGGGGAGGGCATATCCAAAAATAAAGTTGACTAGCAAACAGGGAGAGTGCCTTCTGTGAGGGACAGCTGTGCACTGAGTTAGGGCTACTGGCCACAGGCTGAAGCCCCAGTGGAAGAAAGCACACAGGGCAGAGCTGGTTCACTACGGAAGATGACATTTCTCTTCTGTAAAACCCAAATAGTAACTGCCTCAAATGGCTGCTATGAGAATCAGAGCTCAAAGTCCAGAGTCAGGCTCATGGTATGTGCTGCTTCATTGTTTCCACCATTAATTTTGGCCCTCTTCTTCTCACTCAAATCTGTGCTTTATTAACCTGTAGGGCTAACACAGCAATGTTTAAGAAACCGGCAGCAGTTTTTTCATGCTATTCTCACACTTACACCCCACCCAAAGTACAGATTCTTTGGCAGGAACTTTATAGCACTTTATTTATAAAAAGCACAGATGCTATGAAAATTAACTTTCAGACAGTTGAAATGCTTACAGATTTTTTTCTTTTTCAAATTTATTCCTAATGCTGAACCTAGTGATGCCCAAATGGGTATCATGAAGCTCAAAATCTGTCTTCACACCAGGATTATTAGCGTTGCCATTTGCACAGAATAAAATAAACCCCAGTGACAACACTGCCTAGTGCTAATCCCAGGTCTCCCATGGAACTGCTGACAAGCATTTTCTAAGAAGATAAATTATTGTAGTAATGTTTTGATTAGAAGCTGTGATTTTATGGATATAAATCACTACTTCAGAAATGTTATATAAAAATAGGGGCTGGGGATATGGCTCAAGCAGCAGCGTGCTCACCTGGCATGCATGCGGCCCGGGTTCGATCCTCAGCACCACATACAAAGAAACATGCTGTGTCTGCCGAAAACTAAAAAAATAAATATTAAAAAATTCTCTCTTTAAAAAAAATTGTTAAATAAAAATAAAGACACTTTCAGATGCTTGCTCTAGAAAGAGGGGCTGGAGTGTGAAAGTAGCATCCCATTGTGTGACCACACACCAACATCAGTCAAAACTCAACAGTAGTCAGTCAAAACTCAATAGAAGGGAAGGGCTTGGTGGCACACACCTGTTAATCCCAGCAGCTCGGGAGGCTGAGGCAGGAGGATTTCGAGTTCAAATCCAGCCTCAGCAAAAGCAAGGCACTAAACAACTCAGTGAGACCCTGTCTCTAAATAAAATACAAAATAGGGCTGGGGATGTGGCTCAGGGGACAAGTGCCCAAGTTCAATCCCTGGTACGCTCCCCACCCCCCAAAAAAACCCTTAACTGAGGGGCTGGAGTTGCGGCTCAGAGGTAGAGCATGTGTGAGGCACTGAGTTCGATCCTCAGCACCACATAAAAATAAATAAATTTACAACTAGAAAAACAAACAAAAACCTCAACAGACGATAAGACCACTCTTTGTAAACAAAGCATGTCTCTAGGAAAGGAAGACATCTCGGGTTCACGCAGAATTTTAATCCATCAGTTCAATGCATGTCACTTCAAGGTTTCTATGAGCTCTAGTCTATTATGATTCTAATTATCTTTTTTTTCTCAAAAATGAAAAAATGCAAACACCTTGTGCTATTCTATGCAACTTGCTTTAGAATTCAACTGTTCACGATTCCTAGGTTATCTCAAAACATAACTTGCCACTCACTTCAGCTAAATCCAATAGTACTAGCTTGAAACTAGTTTTGGGGTGTTGAAAATTACTGAACTTTGTTTTGAATAAATACATTTAACATGCATGAAATAGTTAGCACTATGTCAATTCTGAGACTCAGTGAGAAATAAAGACCGGGTACTCACCTACAAGGGCTGTGAAGGAGCTGGACAAGTAAACAGAACAACTTTACTAGGTAACTGGTGGGGCAGTGGGGACAAACACCAGCTGTGCCAGATTACAGAGGCAGCACCTACCCTAGCTACCAGGGGGGTGTGACCTATGCTGATCCTGAGACATGCAGGTGAGGATAAGGGTGGGCAAGGGAAGGACACTTTCAAAGGGCCAACGGTTAGAAGAGTGAAGATGGGAGTAAAGGAGGGCCACTGGCAGACAAGGCCCCAGAGAAGCCAACCTGAGCCATTTGAGGGGACTACAACTATCTCCAAGACAATGGGGACCAACCATTCGAGGATTTCAGGGGACACAAGATAGTATCAGATTTATATTTTAGAGCAATTATCATGAATGCTGAGAGAAACATACTAAGCTCTGAGAGAGGGTAGCCTGAAGGAAGCCGGGAAGGCAGGAAAAGTAGGCGGAGCCAAGTACAGCTGACCCTCTTCTCCTTGATGGAATGGGTCCAGGACCCCAGGGGCTACCCAAATCTGCAAATGATCAAGTCCTCTGTGAAAAATGGCAAAGAATTTGCACATAATCTGTGCAATCCTCCTGTATGCTTTAAATCTTTCCTAGATTACCTATGACATCTGATACAAGTGCTGTGTAAGTAGCTGTTATACTGTATTGTTTAAAGAAAAACCACCACCCCCCAAAAAGTTCTGCACATATTTAGTAGACACAATTTTTTCCCCCAAGTATTTTCAAATCACTGTTAACTGAATCCATAAATGTGGAACCATGGATGCAGACAGCCCACTGTACAGGGTGTTTCTGATGCTGAAGACAGAACTCAGGGCCTTGTGCACTCAGAGCGCACACCCCATTGAGCTGCCCTCCAGATTCTTCTTGGGTACACCCGATGTCCTTCTGAGCATTTGACTTGTTGAACACTGGCTGGTCTCCTGGCTTTCGCTCTACCGTCTCCTCTGTGAACAACATCCCCTCGGCTGGTGGAATGCTCTGAAGGCTCCAGACCCACCGGGCTTCACACACAGCAGCTGCAGTGCTCCATGAGCACTATGTAGGGACCACTGCTCTGAGAAGAGGAAGCCTGGAGGGCAGCAGCGCCACCTGACTCTCCCAGAACAGCCAGGCACCATGGCAAGTTCTGCGTAGACAGAGGAGGCCTTGTGACCTCTGAACTCCCAGGCAATATACACAGTACAAAATAATATACTGACAGAAAAAGTTTTGTGAGAGCTTTAATGGCACAAAATGTTTATAGCTACAAGTTATACATGTATTGTAAACTGTATTTAATGATACAAAATGCTAACTAAATAGATGAAGAATGCATATTCACTTTGGCTCAGTTAAGTCCAATAATATCAATAACTGTTTTTTTTTTTTTATAAATTCATCTAGCTGGCTAAGTCTTCAATTTTCTTTTCTTTTTTTTTAGTCTAGTAAATAATTTTACTGCAATCAAGGTAACTTGCTACACTTTTCAATGTGCAAGGTTGTGCAGTTTTGCTCTTGATGTTATTTACAAATATTTTAAGCCAGTTTTCATCAAACATAAGAAAATGAAACCTGCCTTTTCAGCCCCAATTTGTAAACAGGTGTAAAGCTTTTTAAACATTAATCTCAGAATTTCAACTGTTAATCGTTGAATTCTCCTTCCCAATCAGACAGTGTGTTTTCATTCAACAAAAGTCTAGGAGGAACATAAACATTCATCCCACATGTTAAGGGCTATAGATAAATACTGCATGAGCTCCTCGTGTGGTGAGTTCTACTGTGATAAAGTATTCATCATTTTCCATAACTTCAAAAAGGGCAACACTGAACTTATTTTCAATGCTGGGAAAAAAAATCACAAATATACCCAAAATCCAATGGCACTACTGATAAACTGCTACTGAATTTAGAAAGAGGGCAATGTATTGCCTATAAAAAGTTGCTCTTAAAGTACAATTTTCTTCTTCTCTCCCATGCTACCAATTATAATACAAATTGTATTGTTATAGCAGTTTAGTTCTCTTTATCAGCCTTTCCAATTTTATTCAGGCTTTTCAAAAACAAACAAACAAACAATCAAACAACAACAACAAAACAGTGGACCATCAGATATACTTTCTTCCCAAAGAAACTGAAACACAAAGACTTGAAATAAATATGTTAGAAGGCAAATCAAGTGCTACCAGTAAGACAGAAACAAGTTATAATTAAAAAAAGATGTCCAAAATTATTTAGATATCAAATGCTAGAAAGAAAAAAGAAAATAATTCAGGAAACTATTTTGGATATATCACCTTTCTTAAAGATAGCCAGTTATGTTCTCAAAAAAAAGCAGAAAATAATTTTTTGTTGAACCTGTGTTACTTTCCTCTGTAATATATCATTTTTACCAACCTTGATTCAAGAAAGAAGAATTAGTTTCTGCAAACTGGAAAACCTGGTTGTCATAGTGTTTTTATTCAAGTCAACCTGATGCACTTTATAGATTGCTAGCTTTAAATTTTAACAATTTTAACAATTGGTTCTCTAAATATTCAATAGCAATGTCTACATCATAAACAGTAATAGTTTTTATATATAAAACATACAGTAGTATCCTTCAGAGTCATGCTGTATGTTCTGAAATCCAATAAAATCTACTTGAAATAACTGGCAATCCTGATGCTTTCTAACAATTTGGTCCTAAAAGCTTCACATTTTAGAAACAAACGAAAAAGCACGTTGTTGAAGGGATCTGCTGAGTGTTCTGAAACGTCAAGAGTTTAACATAATTGAAAAGACTACTACATGAGAAAATCACCAACGCCCATGGAATCCCAGGGGCCACCTTGGGAAGACGCACAGTAAACACCAGCAAGGGAGGGACCAGAAGGAAACAAATGGCATCTTTCCAGAACTTTGCCAACTGTTCCCACAACCCAAGTCTGCTTTTCAAAGTTGCACAAGTGCTTGGAATAACTCTGAAGCAATTTTCTTCAGAGTTTAAAGGCTTCAGAGTATAAGTGAAGCTTCCTAAAACAAGAAGCCTATGTTAACACCAAAAATGGACTCACTCAAGTCTCTTCTTAGAGGAAAAAAAATGAAGAAAAAAAAAAGTAAAGTCATGAAAAACTCACATGCAGCTACTACACGGAAATTTCAAATACACAAAAAACTCAAAAGCAATTTTGCATGACTAGGCCTGAGACTTCCTTATCAGAAATAAAGATTCCACATCATAGAAAAGACAGCATTACAGCATACTAGTAATAAAATCTGCTGATGTATCTTAGTTCTTACTCTATTTCCTACCTATCATTTACACAGCCCGCCTCCTAAAAACTAAAAGACGCTATTAGGAGGCTTAGAAAAAAAGTGGCTCCAAAGCTGGTTTAAAATAATTTTCTATTGCCCAGGATATTTTTTCTTGTGTCTTGCTTTTTATTGTCATTGTTTTTGGTTTTTTTTTTTTTATTTGTTTTGTTTTTGCTTTCTTTTTAATAACTATAAATTCAAGCTTTGGGAAGCTTGACTGTCTTGGAAAACAAAACAAAAACTAAACAAAGCATTTTATATCATTTGCTAACCTGATTTCATCTCAAGAGAGACAGCAGTTACACTGCCAGAGTAAAATTCCTACCGTGAGTGATGCAGGTCTAATTCTGGTGGCACTAACAGGAGACAACAGCATTGTTGACAAAATTATAATCTGCTGGTGGCATTTGCGGAAAAAAAGCCCTTGCAAATTTCTAAACAACAGTAAATTCTGTTAGGAAATTCTAAAGTGTCTTACAGGCCAAAAAGGGAATAAAGTTAGTAAAATGCCTCAACCGAGTTTGAATAAAATACTGGAATTGAGAGTTACTGGACTGGATATGTAAAAATAGGGGGAAAGGTTGGTCATGCTTACAATGGTCTCAAGTTCAAATAAACTACTGTGACAATACACCACTTCACAGGCCACACACATCTCCAGGGGCTTTTCCTTCCCTCAGTAGGTGCTGGCAGAAGGTGTGCTCAGTCGTTTTCCAATATAGATGCTGAAAGGAAGCAGAGCGATCATGTCTCACTTGTTTCTACATCTCTATACCAGCTTGTCCACAGGTTGATTCCTACTGAAGAACTATAAGCTTTCCAGTTCCTGAAAAAGGCTCCAACAGTATACACACACAGTTCTCAATTCTGACTCCCTGGAGCTACCACTTTCTTTTATTTATTATATATTTCTGTGGTGCTGGGGATGGAACTCAGGGCCTCACATGTGCCATATTAGCGCTCTCCCACTGAGCCACATCCTCAGTCCACTGACTTTTTTAAAAATTTTATTTATTTGAATTTTGGGGGTGTGCAGGGGATAGATCCCAGGAGCACTCTACTCCTCAGCTATATCCCCAGTCCTTTTAGTTTTTTATTTTGAGACTGGATCTCACTAAGTAACTGAGGCTGGCCTGGAACTTTGGATCCCCTTGCCTTAGCCTCCTTGGTACCTGGGATTACAGGCAGGCAAACCAGTCACTAGCCCTGCAGATCTGGTTTTATCTGATTCTGTCTATTCATTAACTCAGGACTGAACAGCCAAAGAGAAGAGGTCCTCTTCTCCTTTGAGATGTTTCTTTCTGGTGGACAAAAAGTTCTATTGCTACTTCAGGTAAAAAAATAAATAAATAAATATATATATATATATATATGAAATTACTTGGGTGCTAGGTTTAGGCAAAAAATTAGAGCTACCAGTGCCTTTAAGATGGCTCTTACTGATTAGAAATAAATAAAAATACCAAGTCAAAAAAAAAAAAAAGGCTCTTACTTACTTACTACAACTCTATAAAGGATTAGGGTCCCAATGTGACTTTTTCCATTCCAAGCAAGTACTTAAGTACTTGACCTCTTAATAACACAAGCAAAGGGAAATTAAGAAAAATAAACAACTACCTCTACCCCCAGTGCAATAAAAGCAACTTAATGTTTTTAAGCCCTTTTCTTAACATTCATTTTGACAATCTATGTCAACAGCTACACTTGAGGCAAGAAAAGTCTGAAGATTTACAAAAGCAAGAAATACTGCAAGGTCAAAAAACCACCTCTTTAGGGCAAATGAACTACTGAGCCCTTATAACTTACTAAAATCTAACCCCTGCCTCAGGGTCCATACCCTCCCTTCCTCCATAAGCACCTCTCTTTCTGATGCTTTTGATCACCCTTACTGCCTCACTCAGGCAGACCAAGCATCAGGAGAGACAAAGGGTATGGAAGGTTACTGGGATCTGCCTCTGTGATGCTGAGCTCCTTATGGGGAAGGTAAGGGATTATCCATCTTTTGAGGATTATACATGAAAAATGACCCACTGGGCATGCTTAAAGAGCATAACACGTCTTTAAAAAATAAAAACAAAACAAAACAAGCCAGGTGTGGTGGCACATGCCTATAATCCTAGTGACCCAGAAGCCAGCCCCAGCAAAAGCAAGGTGCTAAGCAACTCAGTGAGACCCTTTCTCTAAATTAAAATATGAAACAGGGCTAGGGATATGGCTCAGAGTTGACTGCCCCTGAGTTAATCCCTGGTATGTGCCCCCCGCCACAAAAGAATGGCTGGAGATGTAGCTCAGTAGTAAACTGCCCATGGGTTTGATTCTCAATAGCAAAACAAAAACAAAGTCTAAAATTAAAATTTCACTTAGTGGATTAAGATGAATATCTTGGGCTGAGGATGTGGCTCAAGCGGTAGCGTGCTGGCCTGGCATGCGCAGGGCACTGGGTTCGATCCTCAGTACCAAATAAAAATAAAATAAAGATGTTGTGTCCAACGAAAAATAAAAAATAAAAAAATATATTAAAATTTTAAAAAAAGATGAATATCTTATTTCCAAATAAAGGGAAAAACCTATTATTAAAACTGCCTTGGGTTGGGGTTGTGGCTCAGTGGTAGAGCACTTGCCTAACACATGTGAAACACACGTTCAATCTTAAACACCACATAAAAATGAAAAAATAAAGGTATTGTGTTCATCTACAACTAAAAAACAAAAACAACCCCAACTGGCCTACAGGTAGACCAATCAAATCATGTATCAAATTTAATTTACCCATTTTTTTTGGTACTGGGGATCAAACCAAGGGGTACTTTACCATTAAGCCACATCCCCAATCATTTTTATCTTTTTATTTTGAGACAGGGTCTTGCTAAGCTGTCAAGGCCTTGAAACTAAGATCTTCCTGCCTCAGCCTCCCGAGCTGCTGGGATTATAGGTATATGCCAGTTTAATCATTGTTAAGTTTATTTTATTTAAACTAAAATTTACTTTATTAGAACTAAAACATTAAAAGCAAACCAATATGGGGCTGGGGCTATGACTCAGTGGTAGAGCACTTGCCTGGCACATGTGAGCACGACATAAAAATAAACAAAATAAAGGTATTGTGTCCATCTACAACTACAATATTTTTAAAAATAAAAAAAAAGAAAAGCAATACAAACTGTTTTCCCATGCATTTCTTACATCTCAACAAAAAGTATGAGGATGAAATGAATGGAAAAAACTTTAAGAGTTTAATGGTTTACTTACCCTAGCCCCAAAGCCAAAACATGAGAAAGGAAGAGAGATGGAATGAACACCTTCAGAAATTCTGCAGAAAAAATACCACCTTTCTTCATGGCTCCACTTTTCCTCATGCTTAGAGACACAGCGCGCTTGGGGTGTCTGAAGTGGAACTCCCTGAGAGAGGAATCCAGAGATGGAGTCAGAGATGCATTTGCTGGACATACCTCAGGGGTCTCCAGGCCCCCTGCAGAACCCACAGGGAGACGCAAAGAACTTACTTGGGTGGAACATTTTCAGGTCTACTGGACCAGTCGGACACCCAGTCTGCACTTTTCTTCAAAGCCTCAACTTCCTTCTCTCCTTCTACCACTTCCTCTTCTGACTATAAAGAAGAATTCAACTTTCAACAAAGAATTAAAAAAAAAAAAAAAAGTACAATTCCTTCTAATACAAAAACAAATCTGTGGACAGAAAATTAAGAACTATACTCAGAAGGTTCTGCCCCATTTTCATATTAGAAAAAGGCTATTTTTCTAAAAAGCTGACAAAATGACCTAAGAGTATTTTCTATCCTAAAATAAACTCAGTGAGATTGACTGTTGGTACAGTGAAATATAAACTATGAACTTCAAAACTATTTGAGGATACAATGATAATTAAAGTTTGGAAAATCTAGATAACTATTCAATCCAGTGCAGATGAACATCCATTACATTATTTTCCTTATTTTTGTATGTATTTAGATTTTCATAGAAAAAAATAAATAAACGCAAACATATCAAAAAAGATATAACAAAAATACAAGTGCTGAAAAGCAAATCAAATGGGAAATACGATAAGGAAATAAATAATGGTCTTAGCACTTAGACGACCACCGTTCTAGAGGCTTTATATTCATCAATTTTCACTTGCATCAACCCTATAAAATATAAGACTGTTAAAACCTACTTTCTAGATGGGGAAACTGAGACACAGCATTTTGTACCCTGCCTAAACTTCCACGGTTAAGAAGTGACAGGGCAAGCATGCAATCCAGGCAAACTTTAACATACCTGCTCTTAAGCAACAGGTTTTACTCTCTGGAAGTAGATAACAATTTTTAGATAAATCACTATCCAAATATTTCCCAAGGTTTTGACACCATGTTAGCAAAAAGTTTTTTGGAATAATCTGTTTTAAACTGAGTCAAGAATTTAACACTTACTCTCTCAAATAAATGAAAAAGAAATTTTTATTGCTAATGACAACCTGAAGTTTCAGGCCAAGATATGCGCCAAGAACAATTAAAGTTTCCAAAAGTTTCCCTTTAACAGAACCCACAGGACTAAGAAATTCCTCAGTACTATTTCTTCAGTTTTAAGGAATGCAACACTATGACCCCAAGCCAAAAGGTCTCAAAGCTACAAAGTGTTCTCATTTTGTTTGCGTAGGATTGTCTCTCTGACCACAGCTTTCATTCTGTTCAGGAGACAGTTGCAAGGCAGAGCCTGGCATGTTCACAGCCTTCAGCTCTGACAGGTCTAGTTTATGGCTGCCCAAGGAAGAGAGCTTGAGACTGGATCTCTGTACAATCCTTTTCCCCAACAAAACCAGAGCAAACCCCTGTGGATTCTTGCTACTCTTGCTACTCGTCAATACCACTCTTATCTAGTTCTGCTGAACTTGGCAAATCCCAATGAATGACACACAATGTAGCATTTAGAATTGAGCTTTTTCCATTGGGTATTGGAGATTACTCAGAATCATGAGTTGGCTCTTTGGAGTGGCACTGAAATCATCCTAAACCAAAAACAATAAATTGTTACAATTTGCATACAGACTAGCTTGTGTGCACACAACATCTGACTCCTCAACATACTGCAGATAGCTTCTGAAGTTGCCTCCTGTGGCCTCCTATCTCTCTAAAACTGCTCACAGATTTAGCTCTGAATTTTGAATAAGTCAGTATTTTGCACTTTCCAACAGAGGGAACATGCAGTAAGAGCTTATGCTTTTTTTCCTCCCTAACATGGTAGGATTTTTCTCTCAGCTGAGTAAAGCAAAGTTTTCTCTGGAATAGCATCTTAAAAAGCTAAAGAAATTTCTTATTCTAATGTTTACATAAAGAATGGTAAGCTCCCCTCATTTAGCACTGCTCTGAGCTTCCTTTCATTTATCTTAAATTTAATTTTCAGGTTTTAAATTGTCTTCCGCTTCTTGGAATGGCCAAAAAATGGTAAAAGTGCACTTGATCTAATTATATGAGATTCATGCTTTTAAATGAATCAATGATCTTCTCTCTGCACTTACATCTATTCAAAGAAGAGTCGGGCGTTTCAGACTGTTCTTGTGTGGGAGCCCCTTATCTTCACAGTTAGATTTTCCTTCTCTGGCCAATTCTGTTCTCTTAGGTCTCTAAAGTGAATATTAAACTATATACTGTGATCCATGAACAGACCAGTTTTACAAGACAGAGAAGGTTATTTCCAGTTTGAATCATCTTCCAATGACACCCAACACTCTTTGATCCTGAAATACAACGCAAAAATGTCTTGAGATCACCTGTGGTCCATTTCCTGATACAAAATGGTTGAAAATGGAGACTTGAGTACTACTATCCTAAAAGTAGTTTTAACTAGCTTTTCCCTAAATGTATGACCTTAGCAGTCCCCATACTCATAACTCATCAGACCTGTTAGTTCATTCGCAAGCCCTATGAGCTCTCCTGTGACCAATTCCATTCAGTGGCTAATTTCAGTAGAAAGAACAGGGATCATGCACAGCTTAGAAAGACCCGTTTTCTTTCCTTTTTAAAAAAAAAAAAAATTATGTTTTAGTTGTAGTTGGACTCAATATCTTTATTTATTTATTTTTATGTGGTACTGAGGATCGAACCCAGGGCCTTGCACGAGCTACGTGAGCCCTCTACCACTGAGCCACAACCCCAGTCCCAGAAAGACCCTTGCTTTGTTGTCTTAAATAAGTAACTTAATTGGGGCCAAGCTTCATTTTCCCCCATTTGTCCAAGGGGATGATATCACCTCTTTCACTAGACTGAGAACATTAAAAGTGAGAAGTATTTTTAAAAATAAATTTAGCAACCTAGCACACACACTCCTGGTAAATGTTAGTGCCTCCTCTCCTTGCTCCTCCTAGAGAAGCTTGAAAATGTCATCTATTCTTCATAGACAGACACACATGAGAATATCCCATGTGATGAAGCATACCTAACAGTCCTTTGTTTACTGTTTTTAAGTGTTTCTTAACCCTAAACTTCCTTCTCATTCATGAAAAAAAGTAATTTTTCCAAATCCCAAAGTAATTAATTTTAAATTGTTTCTTCAATTTAAAAAGAAAAACAATGCAAAAGGCTTTTTCAAAGTTTAAATAAATGATCCCTATTCATATCTACCTTATTAAAAGTCTTACTCAGCAATGTTTTTCTTACAAGAGTTAGGGACTGCTTCTGCCAAAACTTACCCTTGTTTCAACGGGTTGATCTGTCAATGTGGCTTTTCCTTTGCCTGAGGAGAGTCAATGCTCTTTTTAGGTACTTGTTTCTGATTAGGGATCCACTGGTAATCCTACTAGAATCTGACACAGTGAACTCCTGAACTTCACAAATTCCTCTGAAATTCTAAAGTGGATGTATTCAGCTCTAGAATTCCATGTCAACTCAATGATCAGATAAGCCCAATGGTATAGCTGTCATTCCATAACCCAGGAAAGTACTGATAGAAGTATTCCATGGGATTATTAAGATAGTAAGGGGGGAAGTATGTATGAGGAGGGGAAGGTGTAAGGTCAAATAAGCTAGAGAAACATTTGGTTTAGTGAAACTGGATTTCTTTAATGCAGGAATTTTCAGAGCTACTACCTAGGGTGACTACTGCTAAGGAGCCGGGCTGTACTATTTTCCACTAATCTGACTTCAGAACTGTTTTATGGAGCTTCCCATTGAGCAAATATTCCTCAGACACATTTTGGAAAACACCAATCTAGATCTTCAGTCTGTATATAGAAGCTGATACTGACTGAAGACTACTTCTTCAGGAAAGGCTATAACACAGATTTAATTTCCCCTCCCTCCCTCCCTCCCTCTCTCTCTCTCTCTCTCTCTCTGATCTTTGCCATACTTCCTGGAATGGGGACATGTACTTTTGTAAACATTAGTTACAGTTTACTGTATGGGGCCAAACTGACATACATTAGCCAGAGAATCAACAATTCTCATCAGATCACCTCATTACACAAAAGCTTTGCCATTTGCTATAAACTTCTCTACAGAATATGGTGCATCATAAAATATATGGTATTCAATCTGTAGAATTTCTAGGTTTCAGAGAATGGCAAAAATAGAGCACAGCCCAAATATGGAGAAACTGTGCAGCTTTTTGAAATGGATTACTGGGCGAATCAAGTAACAGGAAAACTATTTCTATTGCAAACAGGCCAAGGATCATGCATAGTAAGAACACTGCAAAACAAGGGTTTTTAAAAAAATAACTCATGTAAACATTCATTCAATATTTTTCAAGTGCCTAAACACAGGATAAAAAGAAGATGGTTTTTGCCCTCAAGAATCTGTACTCTAGTCATGTGTAGTGGGACACACCTATAATCCCAGCAACTTGAGAGACTGAGGCAGGAGAACCAAAAGTTCAAGACCGGCCTCAGCAACTCAGTGAGATCCTATCTCAAAATAAAAAACAAAACGAGCTAAGGATGTGTCTCAGTGCTAAAGTGCCCCTGGGTTCAATCCCCAGTACCAAAAAAAAAGATAAAAGTTGATCTGACACCTATGTAAGATTAAGGGCAGGCCATGAATGTTCTAAGTCATTAGCAACAATTATACACTCACCATATTTTATGATGCAAACCTCTGTAAGATTTAATTTTTTCCTTTTAATACTATACTTCCAACCATATCAATTTCTAGTGAATTATTTATCTTCTTTAATTCAAGGAGTCTTGCCAAAATTTAGAAGAATGTTTCTCTCTTGCTGCAAATTCACCTTGGAAGTCGCTGCTTTGATTTCAGATACAGGCAAAGTTTTCACACCTGATTCTAACACAGCCTTCATTTGAATTTATTGCAATCTTAAATAAGACATCTCAGTTTTTCTATTTATAAAGTCAAAAAGTAGCCTGGAATATTAGGAATGTTACATCATAGACAAAAAATTTCCAACACTTTTAGGGTGAAAGGGCCCCAAATTCTTAGTTCTAAAGAAGTGCAACAAGAACAAATATTATCCTAAATAACTCCAAAATTGGAAATTGAGTAACTTAAAACAGCTTCAAACTATTGTTAAGATTTCTGAATAGTCTTCTTTCTCAATATACTTCAGCAAAAGACTTAGAGAACCTTCATCATTCCTAACTGCTTACTTTACTATAAATGAGAATAATAAACACACACACCTGAGAGCTATGGTCCCTGCTGGTATGCATCTCCACATCAAACATGATCTGCCCATCTTCTTGAGGTGAAGGGCTAGGAGAGAAAGAACTGAGCTATTAGCTTTACCCCTCTTCTTATCAAATGAATTAGTCTTTACATGAAATTAGAAAATCAAATTACAGCAAGATGACTATACAAAAACAGTTAATCCAAAAGTATATCATAATCCTAAACAAGCAAATTTCATGTGATAGAAAGTGACTAAATAAAATCAAGGGCTCTTACAAATTGTTCCAGACTTCACCAGTGGTGATGAATTCCTTTACAATGCTAAATCTGCAAAGAAAATATTACATAAAGCAAATAATGTCACATTCTCTTGTTTTATTCTTTTTTTTTTTTTTAATAAAAGCAAAATGATCTTCAAAGTCAGAATCCTAGCTTGCGGTTCTTTCAAAGTTCTTTCATCATTAAATAATTCGCTCCCAGCAGTTCTCCAAGTATGAAGAGTAGTTCTGAAGGACTACTTCATAGGGTCTTCAAGGTTAAGTTTTCTTTCACAATATTATTAGGATTTATTTGCTATTTCCATTATCTCATAAAATTATAGCAGAAAATTCTACCTGATGTGTAATATTATAGCAGACTGGATGTAAAATCAGGTGAGAATCCACCTATTCTCTAATAAGCCAGATATTAAATTTGTGAAATATAAGACAATTGTCACTATTTCTTACTAATTTTTGTTATGATAAAGCTTTTTTTTACTCAAAAAAGTTACTTATGTTCAAATGTAATATATTTATTATTTTTCAATGAATAACTACATATTCTAAATTTTGTCCTAATTTCTTTTTCAGGGGGAGGTGGTGAGAGGATTGGACTTAGGCTCTCAATTGTGCTCTACCACTGAGCTTCACCACCAGCCCCATTTGTAAATTTCTAAAACAGTAAATATCCAAATACACAATCTACATGCAAAAGCTCTTTGGCATCTCTAATAATTCTTAAGAATGTAACAGAAACTGAAAGGTTTAAGAAACGTTATTCTATTTATTTCAAAAACACGTGCTCTGAGATATTTCAGAGTGAACTACATAAACTTATATCTGAACACAAACCGTTATGCTAGTACAAAATATATTCCCAGAACAACAAAATCTACAGATGAATTCTTAGGCAAACACATGATCACAAAGTGTACTTGTTACAATCAATGAATACAATGTGCTAAGTCCATTTCTTAGTTTTATCAATGATCCTGTGTAACTACAATGAGCCACCGGAATTTTCAATAGACACACTGTGTTCCCATCCCATGTAAAATAAAACAGGTCTGAAGGTGTATATCAGTGGTAGAGCACTTCCTAGCATGGGCAAGGCCCTGGATTTGAACCCTAGCACCAAAAAAAACCAAACAAAAAAACAACACTCAAATAAAATAGAGGTGAAAAATAGACCGTGCTCAAAGGAACAGACATTAACTACTAAAGTCACCAAGGGCATGTGTATAAGGTTACTATATGGAGATGTCAGTGAGAAAGCTTCCAAGAGAAGCCACATATGTGGTCATCAAGACCCTGACCTGACCCATCCTGGCACATGGCACCACTGATAGAGGAAATCTGAAGGAGCCAGGAGGCTTCACACATGTCCCCAGGAGTGATCTCTGAGGAACATCAGTTGACTCCTAAGACTATATACGAACAAGGTCAGTTTTGACCAGCTTGGTCTTAAACACCTGGCAGAAGAGTATAGCCTGAGCACAGTCCTACATGGACATTTAAAAGGGGGAAAAATTTATTTTTAATATAATTTAAGACGTACATTTGTGTCAGCCCTAACAAAAGTAAAGCTGGAGACTATAAAGGAAGGGTACTTATGAGAGTGCCTAATATTTAACTATCACAAAGACTCTAGAGACACAGGCTGTCCTGCATTCCAGAGACTGGCTGAAATACTAATTGTTTTCATGTTAAGTGTTTATCAAAAAAGTAATGCTTTGCTGTCTTGTTTATTGTTGTCCCAGCATAAACCTTGCCCTATATATACCTTGTCCAGTCACCTGCCAACTCCCACCATGTTCCTCTGGACTGCTATGATACTGAATACCCATAACTGTCCATGCCCCTCCTGACAGAAAACAAGAACTCTGGGTCACTTCCCTCCAACTTCGCCCTCTCTCAGCAGGAAATAACTTGGAGATGTCATCTCCCACTTTTCCATAGAAATGGAAGGTAGAAATTGACAGTGGGGAAATGAAACAGTGTTACCTTCACCTTCTGAAAGTAGCACTCATTGTGCTAAGGCTTACTTAAAAAAAAAAAAAAAGATTTTTCCTCTCTTCTCCCCTCTCCCCCTCCCTAACAAGATTGGGGAGACAGCATTATCTTTTCTTCCCCTAGTTAATTGCCTTGGAACACACAAACTACAGATAGGAGAGGCCTGCCGAGGATCTGGAAAGTGAATATTTCCCAAATTAACAAGTGAATCCTAACATGCCATCAGGGGGCTTCCTACCAGAGCACACCTGGGATGTAACCCTTGAAGTTCCTTTAAAACCCCCTTCAAAATGGATGGCATTAGAGCATATTATGCTAAGTGAAGTTAGCCAATCCCAAAAACACAAATGCCAAATGTCTTCTCTGATATAAGGGAGGTGACTCAAAATGGGGTAGGGAGGAAGAGCATGAGAAGATTACCTCTAGATAGGGAAGAGAGATGGGAGGGAAAGGGAGGGAGAAAGGGAATTGCATGGAAGAGGAAAGGAGACCCCCCCTTCGTTATACAGAATACAGGTATGACGATGTGAGGGAAAAAAATAAAAATAAGTGGGTCACATTAGATTGGGTAGAGAGAAGTGATGGGAGGGGAAGGGAGGGGAAGCGGGGAATGGAAGGACAGCAGAATAAAATAGATATTATTATTATTGTGGGTATATACGTGACTGCATGACCAATGTAATTCTGCAACCTGTACACTCAGAAAAATGAGAAATTATAACCCATTTGATTCAAATGTATGATATGTCAAGATCATTGTACTGCCATGTGTAACTAAAACAAATAAAAATAATAATAATTATGCAATCACAAAAATAAATAAATAAATAAATAAAAATAAAGCCCCCTTGTCCCTACTGAGAGAGTCATAGACTTTGGGACAGGAGTCCACTGGGTTTCTCTTTTGCTAGCAAAGCCATAAACCTTCTTTTTCCTTTTTCTGAAAAGAAAAATAAGACCACCAGAAATGACTTATTAGGCCAAGGTATCTTAAGACCAGTATAGTCAACATAGGAAATTCTTAAATGATAGGAAAAGGAAAAAGATGGTTCTATGTCAAACAAACATATCACATAAACTTAAAAAACTTTTCTCTTAAATAAGAAATGTCAGCAATAGCACAGGAAACAAACAGAATGAGGTATTCTTGTCCTCAGTTTACTGTATTTGTTCTTATAACAATGTTGGCATCAAGTTAGGGGCCAGCTTTACATATAGCTGGGACCAAATCAAGACAGGCAGAGTGACAAGGCAGGAGTCCTACTGCAGCACCACTCTACCTCTGCACTGCTGCCACAAGCACCAATCTCACTCCCAGAAATACTAGCTCTCCCCTGGTCAACTGTTTGCTACTCCTAACAATTTGGAATACAATAAGGCTTCAACCATGGCTCCTATGGAGAAGCTGGGAGGTTGTAAAATATCCCAAGTCTCTGCCTCACCCCTTACAACTGAATCAGCAGCTCTAAGGATGGGGTTTTGCACTGGTATTTTTAAAAGTGCCCTGATGAATTTAATAAGCAGTTAAGCTTAAAAGTCTCTATAATTGGGTGGAGAAAAAGCAATATATACAAGGGTTATCTTCTAACAACCACTGTTAGGGACAAAAATATATCTTCAGAATAATTTATAAATACAAATCAGCTCTGGGACTAATATTCTACAATCCCAACTCTTTCACCTATAAGAAACATTTCCCAACAACTTCAAACATAAAGAGTTGCATGTCAATTCAAATGACATTAATTTTGAAGTGTTTTTAAACAGCCAAGTGAGTAAGATATTACTGAGCTAAAGTACTAGGCCTCCTTTGTCAGATGACAGTAACCCAGAGCCTGAAGTATGCAAGCTAAGTAATAAGAAAGTGTTCAAAAGCATACGCCGTACCTCTTTTCACATATTTAGAAACCTAAACTTTAAATACAACCTTAGGAAAATGTATTCATATTCCATCATATGTATAACTGCAAACAAAATGAAAGAAGATTACCAGACAAATAAACAGGTGATTTTTCCCTGAACCATGTGAACAACAGATTAATGGAGACAGTGGTATCACTATTCAAGGTTCATGTACTTGAAGATATAGTGAAATAGGCCATATTAAGCAGAAACCTTCACAAATCTAAACAGAAAACTTTAGAACTCCTTCAACAAATTCCATAACACAAATCTTCATTCTGAAAGACAGACTAATGCTATTTACTGGAATCAGTGACAAACTGCTCAGAATGTGCTCTTGTTCTGCTTATGACAAGAGACATCCCTGGCTCTAAGAATCATGGGGACAAGTCAGAGATGATTCAGGGACAAAGCGGGTGCTCAGTGTGCTGCACAGTCAATAAGCCTGCCCACTGTTGCCTTGCTAACATCAGTGGATCATAAGATGTGCAGGAAGGTCTAGCAGATTTAATTCATTTCTCTCTTTTTTGACATGTTTTTCTGATAAACACTAATAGGTGCTATATACATAATTTCTATAAGATATAAAAATGTTAGGAAAAACATCCATAATTCTGTCCTCTGAAGAAAGTCACTGTTTATATTTTTAAGTTTTCCCTTATTCCTCCTCCTGTGCGTGTGCACTTTAGACATGCTTAGTATTAGTTAACTATTAATTAACCAGAAAATTATCCAGTACTCCAGAATGCTAACAGTGTGCTGCCACTGCACTAAGAGGTTTTAAATATCTGAGAGGCTGAGGCAGAAGGATTGCCAAGTTTAAGGCCAGCCTTGGCAACTTAGTGAAATCCTATCTAAAAATAAAAAAAGGGGTGGGGATGTGGCTAAGAGGTAAAGTGCTTCTGGTTTAATGCCTAGTTTAAAAAAAAAAAAAGAATCTTTACATATCATTTAATACCTAGTCCCTCTGAAAAGGAAAGGAAAAGCTCAGAGAGGTGTCAAATTAATAACTTGATTTCATTCCACTCATACATCTCTCTCAATGCTTACTCTGTCACCACAAGCAATCCTTAATCAGTGGAATTCGCTTCCCCACATAAAACACAGAAAAATTAAATCTGAAGTAAAACTTCTCCTGAGGAACAGAAGGTCTTCAAAATGAACTTTCTTTACAGACAGAGGTTCGTTCTTCCACTGTGCAAATATTGCCAGAACCTGAACTGACTTGCAGATCCTGTGAGTCAAACATTTATGAGTGTCTGCTGCATGCCAGCATCATTACTGACAAGGGTGCAAGGAAGAGCCATGTGGCCCTCCTATGGGGAGACAGACTTCTAAAGAGGCAAGTCAAGCACAATGCAACTTGGGGAAAGGACACAAGGGCAAAGGAAACTGGGAGGAAGTTAGATTTATTTTACAAATTAACATTTATGCTATTGAATTTTAAACTGATAAACATGTAGAAATAAAATAATTGGGGCACCGGGTGGGGTGGCGCACACCTGTAATCCCAGTGGCTCAGGAGGATGAGGCAGGAGGATAGCGAGTTCAAAGCCAGTCTCAGCAAAAGCAAGGCGCTAAGCAACTCAGTGAGAGCCTGCCTCTAAATAAAACACAAAATAGGTCTGGGGATGTGGCTCAGTGGCCAAGTGCCCCTGAGTCAATCTGCAGTACCAAAAAAAATTAATAAAATGAAAAAAAAATCTAAATAATAAAAATTACTGAATCTGGAGAAAACCAGAGGGCCCTCAAAGGACTGTCAATTAGCTCTTTGATTTAAATACATATGGAGGTATATTTTGTTAATTGAACATTTAAGCAAATAAATTTTTTCTCATGGGAATTAGCCCTGTAACCCACCTGTCTCCTGAATTACATCAAAACATGGATCTCACTTACCTGTCACAGTGAGAACTGCCTCTTGAACTGCTCTGTCCTGATTCATGCTGTGCATCCAAAAGAATCTTTTCCATGTCTCCATTGTGGATGGAAGAGGAAGAAGGTACATGTTCCAGCCCTCCATTCTTCCCATTGCCATTATCATTGCCATTGCTGCTATTCATGGGTAGTTCCACCCAGGAACCTGTTGGACAAGTCAGATAAGTTAACCACAGCAAGACTGAAATCCGTCATGTGCACGGATGCTAATATGGCGAATTCAGATAACAATTCTGACTTGCTTTAAAGTGAATGCAAAAGTATTCTGAAGAAAGTAAACAAAGTGCAATAAAGTCAAAATCTATACTGTTCTGTTCCTGAAGCAGCAAATGCAATTGGTTAATCACAAATGACCAATTTAGAAGAAGCTGGAAATCTAAAACTAACTTTTTAGAAAACAAGTTTTCTAAAAATAATTTTCTCCCTGCTTACAGTTTGGTCTACACACAATCAACAATTTCCTGAAAAAAAGAAGCTGCTTTTCAAAAAATAAATAGCTACTTCATTACTAGACGGGCTACTTGCCTTTAATATTTTAGTTTCTCTCTCTCACACACACACACACACACACACACACACACTCTTCTTAGCCTGCCTCAGTTATTTAGTATCTGCATCACAAATTAACTAATAAATATATGACTTAGAAAAGTCATACAGTTCACCAAAATAGGTTTAACAACTAACTACCACAAACAATGATGAAGCTGCTAGAGAAGAAATCTATATTCAAGGAAAAATTTGGGGACTGGCATTGTGGCTGAGTGGTAGCGCGCTCGCCTAGCAAGTGCGAGGCCCTGAGTTCAATTCTCAGCACCATATAAAAACAAATAAAGGTATTGTGTCCAACTACAAGTAAAAAATAAATATTTTTTAAAAAGAAAAGAAAAAATTTTAATGTATGTACAAATTTAGAGCATAAAAATAATGCAGCTGGTTCTTAACAAAATCAGGTGAAAATGACAAAAAATTCTAGGAGGAAAAAAGTTTTAGCTCTAGTCCCTATATTTGTGTCTTCCTTTCCTCTTTTATTCTGTCTCCTTTTTTATGTACTAAACATACCTGGTGAATGTGACTCTTCTCTTTTCTCTCCTGCAAATTCCTACTTTCTAGGGTTTTCATTAAGCCCTGCTGGTTTGGAAGCAGAAGCCACTGCACAGGGCTAGAGAGAGAAGTGGATTTGTGGGGGGTAAATAGTCAAAGAGGGTGGAGCCTTATGAAAAGGGGAGGAGGGACACTTGTAATCTGCATAGGTCCTGAAAAGTTTTTACTAGCCCAATGAGTTTGCAGAACTATTAGTGCTTGAATTTTAATAAGAATCGATAACAGTACCCAATAAACCAACGTTACAACAAAAAGAGAAGAGTGTTTTCATAACTTCCCTTCCTTACAATAAACTTTGTTTTAGAAAATATAACCCAGCAGGTTGGTAGGGCCATTCCTCTGAATTCTCCACAGAAGTGCTGAAGACTCCCAGGGCTAAATGCAGAGTTCCATCAATCAGAATAATCACTAAAACAAGTCAAAACCTAAAATACACTCTAAATGAGGCCATGACTATACCTGATGGAGGGTGAGTTCACTGTCCTCCTTACAAAAGAAAGGAGAGCTCAGGCATACCTGGCTGGCTGGAAGTCTGACCCTACCTCCCACCCTCTGTGTACAACCTTCCTTTCTGCCTTCAGCTTCCTCCCAGAGGTAACACTGCCTAGGACCCACCTCCATGGGCTGCCTGGAAGACTACCATAGTAATATAAGGTGCCTAGTAAACAGAAGCTCATACACATGCTATGGAAAAAGAGTTTGAATCTATAAAGTATGTTCTCAGAACAGTGTTTGCTAAATAAAGTTAGCCTGTCCTTTCCATCAAAGGCAGCCCCAGAAGCAATCACAGTCCCAGATTCATCACCCAGGACAGTGCCATCAAACAAGAGTAACAAACACAAGTTGCAAAGCTGAGAGATAACTGAATATTTGGAGTCCCTTAAAATTTAGAGTTCTGCAAAATATTTTTGGGAAGGAGGGGGAGAGAAAGAGATAAAGAGAGATAGAGACAGACATACACTAGAGATGGAGAAACTGGTATATGCTAAACAAACTTTTTCCTATTCCCATTGCTTCTAGAATTTTCAAACTTCTTTTGAAACCAATAAAAACAGTTCTTGTACAGAAGCCCAATGTGTAAAATAAACAAAAGCCCAGAGCTACCTCCTGCAGAAACAGAACTAAGGACCCAGTAGTTCCAGATGGGTCTCTATGGAAGTCGGTCTTCCCTAAAACACAATTACTCTGTACTTGATGTACATCTGATCAAAGGGAAAAAAGGCAGCAATAGTGCCAAGTTTTCTGGTCCTTACTTTCCGAAGAACTTCCAAACCAATATGTGAATCATATTTTCTGCACTAAAAATACATAAGCCATTATTAATCTAGCATTTGTTTAGGGACCTTGGAGAGACCCAGCTAGAAAAGTTTAGGGAAAGTAATGCATGGTGGCCTTAATACTCTGGAGCGCACTCACAGCACTTCTGCTTAAGGCAGACTGTTTTTATGTGGCAAATGTTAGTACAGTGGTTAAAAACAGACCAAGCCAGATCCCCACTTATCACTTAGTGCTTTCACTCCCTGGACAAGTTACTTAACCTCTTTGTGTCTCAGTTTCCTCAGTAAAATAGGGATAATAGCAGTATTTGCCTCACAGAGTAGTTAGGATTATTGAATAAAGTGAATAGAAAGATAAGGATCCCTGTAAGTACTATGTACATGTCACTACAATAATTATATTCTGTTTCTTTTTAAATCATTTCTGATTGCAAAAAAAAAAAAATGTGTTCTTGGAAAATATAAACATCAGTATAAAATGAAAGAATTAATGCTTCTCCTCAAAACCTCCTGTTCCTACTCCCAAAGGAAAACATGCAAACTGGTTTTAAAGGGAGACTTCTGAAGTTTTTTGAAATACAGTTGTTGAAAGACTTTTTGTTTTGGCCCTGGGGAGTGAATCCAGGGGTGCCCTACCACGGAGCTACATTCCTAGTCCTTTATATTTTTTGAGACAGGGTCTCAATAAGTTGCAAGGGCTGGCCTCAAACTTATCCTCCTGCCTCAGTCTCACAAGTGGCTGGGATTACAGACGTGTGCTTGTCTTTGTATTTATAAACAAATAGAATTGTACTATATGGACATTTCTGTAAGTAGCGTTTTTCACCTAAAACTTTGGAGATGTCTTCCAATATCAATACTTGTGGACATTCACCGTTCTGACCAATGCATTGCACCTCACCTATTATAAAAATGCACTATATTTTAACCACTATCCAATGGCAATGGGTAACCATTACCCAAATATTTCTTTTTAATATTTATTATTGTAACTGGGGCTTCAATAGACATTTTGGAGGGTAATTTGGCAATATGTATTAAGAGCCTTAAAAAGGTAGATTTCCTTAACTCAGTAACTCTCTTTCAGAAACATTATATACAGAAATATACAGGGCTACAGAAAAAGTTATGTACACATTAAGAGCCTACATGTTAGCTTTATCTTTTGAGTAACAGAGAAAAAAGCAAATCCATCTTTCTCAATAAATATACTATACACACACACACACACACACACACACGCTTTTTCCCCATCACCTAATTCACTCCATTTCCAGCCTAAGAATTTCCTAATGTTCTAACTTTACCAGTCCTTCACAAAGTCCCCTTTCACTTGGAAAGGAAGCAGGGCAAGATGTGAGCATTGTGCTGTCCAAGTAATACAAGTAGAAAACAAATTCAGAGTGAATTATCTTCCGAATACGCAAGCTTTAAAATAAGAACTAGATGTTTTCTCTGTTATTTTAAAAAACTATTTACAAGCTGTTCCTTTATGCCAGTTTGTACATAGACACAATGACATTTTCTAGTTTAAGTCTTTGGGAACAGCTCAGAGAGATCATGAAGGCTGATCCAATAACTGTGATGACATTCACTCCTATGATTTCATAATCACCAGTTGAATCCTCTTGAGGGTTGGGGAGGTAAAGAAGGAAGAGTATTTCTCCTCATTTCCCCCCAGCTTTTCGAGGCTGTGTATAACTGGTACCTTCAACAGGGACAATATATTTATCTTCTTTCCTCAAAGACTTTGTTTCAGGAATCTGATGCTAGAATCCAGAACAGGCCTTCAACAGTCACTGGCATTCTTCTAAAAAATATGTTGACTTTTTTGCACAAATAGGTGCTTACACACCAGTGACTTATTTATTCAAAACACTATTACAAGGCAGTGGTATGTCATATGCCACAGTCTTAAGAGCCCTCCTGCCATACCTGGGGGAGCAAGAACATTGTAGTTGAAGAGATTTAAAAAGAAAGAAAAGGCTGTTTACACTCCTATGTTAATTTTCCTTATAGGCCATGTTGAATCTTATGATATAAAAGTCTTATTCAAATATTCTTAAGGAATTTGGTAGCTTTCTTAAGAATAGAACAAACAACTGAAAATGACCTTTCAACTTTAGAAATAGTCTGGATATTTGCCCTCTAATTTGAAATAAAAGCAAACAGTCCCCCTAGAGTGGCCAAAAAGAAAAAAGAAAAAAAAATCAGAGAAAGGTTTCACTATTTCAAATATTTCAATAATTTGCTATTCAAACTCTGCTTTGACCCCTGAACTAAAGATAAAATCCCAAACCAGAGATAATCTATGGAGTTTCATCTTCTGTTTTTCAGTTGTGCAACTTTACCCAGCAAAGTACTAGAACTTATCAGCAATTCAGATAGTATTAGATGCCTGAACAAGTTGTTTTGCCCAGTGACTAAAAATCCCTTTAAGGAATCAATAAGGTTTCTTGTTTTGTTCAGTCCAGTGTTGTATAATGAGCTTAAAAAGCAAACAAAGAGGCAAGACAAGACAGTAATTAAATAAGGCATTATCAAAAAGCTGTTTAGAAACTTTTGAAAGTTCAGCCTATCCCAAATAAAACATTTTTACCTAGCAAATTTCCCAAAGCAACATCTGGCAGATATCACATGCAGGCTGTGTCCTTCCACTTCTGTAAGGAACTAACAAAAACGTAGCAGGAACTGATTGGCCAAAGATATCAAGCACCTCACAGGTCTGCCAGACACCAAAACAAACATATATACAATTCACTACCACCACCCCTTTTTGGTTAAATGGTCAAAGGAAAGTTAAAAGCCCTTTGCTTTCTGTGAAATCATGAATATGTACTGACCAAATTCCTAACTCACAAGAAAACACTGAGCAAAATTAAGAAATAAAATACTAAAAGAAATAAAACAGGTTGGCCACTCTGTACATGAGGCAGAATGATAGGCTGAAAGAATAAAATACACACTCAGGCCTATTTAAGAGATGTGTCCTGGAAAGAGCACCAGATTGGATCAAAGTGGGAACAGGGCTCCCAGCTGTGGACTTGGGAAAGACCTTTCTATCTTTACTAGTAAATAACAGGGGACATTTATCTGAAGTCTCTTCTCATTCTAAAATACACCTAAGAAAAGTATGCTAAAAATGGGTAAAGTCCCACATTAATACGTAATACAAGTAACATTTAAAGATACACAAATCGACTCTTATTTACTGTGCTGTGTCAAACAGTATGAATATCTTATTCTAAAACACAGATACTTAAGCTTTTTTTGAAAAGTCAACATTTAGGGAATAATTTCATCAAAGGAGGGAGCAGCAGAAATAAATAATGAAAGCATCTTAAAATATCCCAATTCTGCCGCCACCCTGTGAGAACAGGAACTCTCTTCCCTAAAATGGTTAGGTCATGTTGAAGCACCTTCCTCTTATGAAAACGACTGCCTGCATGACCTTTAAGCACCCAAGTGCTTTCTGAACAATTCCGCCTGGCCCTATGCTACCTCTTTCATAAGAGAGGAATTACAGAAAGGGTGGGCAAGCCCTTCCAAGAGTAGGCGCTCTCACGACAACCAGGAACACTGTTAGGACAGGACGTCTGAGCGCCAGAATGTTAGGGAAAACAACTGTAGTCGGTGGACACTCCATCCTGCCCACGAAAATTCCGTTTCTGAAAATCCACTGTCCAGACTCCGTGATGGGTGCAACCTTGGGTGGTCACAAGGATGTTCTTAAAGAGGTTGCTGAGTACACAACCCACCGTTTGAAACAAGAATAAAATCACTTAGGCAACTTGGGGGAAAGCTCAAAAAGGAAAAAAGAAAAAGCAGGAGCAGAGCCTCCTCAGCGCCACACGTGACTCCAGTAACCACTGAATTACCAAATGGTTTTCCTGACCCGCGTGTGGCAACAAAGGGACGCCGCCCGCGGGCTCAGGTCGCGGCCCCGAGCGCCGCCGCGCGGGAGGGCCGACCGGCCCCGCACACCTGCTCGGCTGCACGTCCCGGCCGCCCGCGCTCCGCCCGCCAGCCGCGTCCATCCCCCGGCGTCCCCGCTGCACGTCCCCAGCCCGGCCCACGTCCCCCAGAGGCCCGCTCCGCCCCCACGGTCCGCCCCCTCCCCGCCCCGCAAGCTCCACTTCAGGGACGGCACTCGGGGTCTAGGCGACCCCTGTCAGCTCGCCCCGCGACTGTGGCCTCCAAGCAGCCCCAGCCCAAGACCACGGGAGGGAGACCCACAGGCCGGGAGGGAGACCCACAGGCCGAGAGGAAGACCCGAGCGCCTCCTCCTGACAGGAGACGGAAGCTGTCAGTCACCCGAACATCCAAAACCTAGACCAATGGGAGGCCTTCTCCTCCCGCCCCCCGCGCGGAGCTGGCAGCCGCGGCCGGAGCAGCTCCTCCTCCCCCATCCCTCCACCGAGTCCGTCGGCCCTGCACTCACTGTTGAGGCCGGCTGGCGGAGGCAACGCCTGTTCCCCTTCCTCGCAGTTGTTGTTGTTGTTGTGCAGGGGCGGCGGTGGCTCAACCAAATGAGACGACATTGTCGGGCGGCTGGAAGAGCTGCGGCCACAGCTAAGAGCGTCTCCGGTTCTCGGGCGGCAACACAACAAGCCGAGTCCCCCGCCCCCTTTTCTGCGCCTGCGCAGTCCCGCCCCTCCTCTGACGTCAAGGCCCGCCCCGGGCACGTGATGACAACACAACAAGCGGCGGCGCGGGGCGGGGCGGGGCGGAGCGGGGTTGTTCCCGTGCTGGTCCGGGACGTGCAGACGCGAAGTCATGCTGACGCGCGAGCCTGGAACGAATTCTTGCGTGTAATTTGAGCTGACCGGATGCAATGAATTATGCAGATGGCACTGGGCTAGAGGATACGGAGAACTGTGGAATGAGGAAGTGCGAGGTGCTAAGGTGCTAGCGCCCAAATCTCCCACAGGAACTGGATCTCCACGTTTTAGCCAATCCTTGTGCATTTAGTTTTTAAATATCTGTTAAGAACTCACTTCTGTAGGGGTATCGTGATACAAAGCAAAAATTCCCAGTTGCTCCCTGCCCTAAACCTAAAATATACCTGGTGAGACAAAAAACCGTGGAATCCAAGGTTTCCTAAAACTTGCTAATTGAAAAGAGAAAGGGAAATTCAGAAAAATAGAAAAGAGAAGAAAATAATTACTCAAATCTTATCAACCACCTAACCTATTTCTGGGACATGACTTGGGAAGCTGTGCGTGGGTGAATCTCAACTGTGTTCCTAAACACTCCTACATCAGATCTCTGTCTTTGTACGATTTCCTTGATCTGATTTGTGTGTGGCAATGTATTTCTCCCAGTCTGTTACTTCTTGTAACTTTGTTTCACAGTGCAGACCTATAAAGTTGTAGTGTAACTAAATCTGTCAAGTATACAGGATTTGGGAAGAAGCTCACCCAGGATTATGAATCTATTCTCCCATAACTTTTATCTAATGCTCAATTTTATGTTGAGACCCTAATTCACCTGAAATTTACTTTTCATATGTTGTAAATTATTTAACGTCAAGTTTTCCTCAGTTTTTAGTCAATTGACCCAAAGATTTCATTAATTTTTAAGGCATTCTTTCTTCCACTGATTTGAAATTAGCTTTCTAAGGTTCTAAATGCTCACAAAAGGAGGGTCTAATTCTACCATCTAAAGTTACTAGATAACTGCTAGAGAAAGTTTCTCTTGTCTTTTAAAAAGTTTTCCTGGCTATTTATTCTTCAGATGAATTTAAAAATAGGCCTGCCCCAAATTTGACCTTGTGTTGGTAATTATTATTTTTTTATGTTTTTATATTTTTTGGTACTGGGGATGGAACCCAGAGTCTTCTGCATGCTAGGCAGGTGCTCTCTCTACCGCTGAGCCACACTTTCAACCCCTTCAGCATTATTTGAACAAGGTGATATATTAAACTATTTTTTTTAATATATTTGAAAATTCAATACTAAAAAGTTTTTTTTAATTACTGAATTGTCAGATATTATTGCAAACTCTTTAGATTTTAGTCAGAAATTTCAATTAATAGATTAACTGGGGTGGGGGTAACTTATATGTTTACAGAAGTGCCTTTGCATTCAAGACTGTTTTATCCCTCCTTGTGGGGTGGGGGGAGGATGCTTCCTCAAAAGGCTTTCAGATGTTTCTTAATCTTTTTAAAGTTTTGATATAATCTTATGTTCATTTTATTAAAAAACAATTAGGAAGTTTCCTTTTCTTTGGTCTTAAATAAATGAAATTGAAATTACTGTTTTTAGGGATGTAATTCCCTTATAAAAACGTAGGGGCCTGGTGCTTTCAGGGGGATTTGCTCTGTTTCTGTAAGATGTCATTTTCATTTCTCACTTTGTGTTATTTGTCCTCTATTTTTCTTGATTATATTACCTAAAGGTTTGTCTATTTTATTGACTCTTAAATCAAATTCCTGCTTCGTAATTGTATTATTCCTAATGTCTTCTTTTAACAGCTTTATTAAAATTTAATTAATATACCAGGCAACTTAGCTGTTTAAAGATCAGAATTCAGTATTTTTACTAGATTTGCAGAATTGTGCAATCATTGCCCCAACCTAATTTCAGAACAAAGAAAACCTATAATTCTATTAGATTTCCAATTTGTTTCCTTTTGATGTGTGTTTGTTTGCTACTAGGTATGATAGGGGATTTAACCTAAAGGTGCTTTACTGCTAAGCTACACCCCCAGCCTGTTTAATTTTTTTATTTCAAGACAGGGTCTCCCTGAGTTGTTTAGGTCCTTGCTAAATTGCTGAGCCCAGACTTCAACTTCCAATTCTCTTATCTCAGTCTCCTGAGTCCCTGGGATTACAGGTATGTGCCACCATGCCTGGTTAGTCCTCATTTCTTTAAACAATTTCTTTTAATACCCAGAAAGTTCTGAACCATAATAAAATTAGAAAACATCCTCTTTTTCTGCCTTTACTTCCATTACCCATTGTTTTAGTGGGTCATATTCTCTCTTAATATTTAACTATGTAGTTTTAATATGGTTGTATTATTTAACAATTTAATGTGATAAAGGTACCTCTTACTTTTCTTCCTGTTTTCTATCACATTTTTAATTACTTACTAGAGTCTACACATAAGAGTATATATTCATAGCTATCGCCACATCATGGTGCATAACAAACCACCCTAAACTCACCAAGTTAAACAAGAAATATTTATTCTCTCTTACAGACTAGACAAGTGTTCTACCACTGTACTTTTTATATTTTATCTGTGAGATGGACCCTCACCAAGTTGCCCAGGCTGGCCTCCAATTTGCAATCCTCCTTCTGGAGCCTCCTGAGTAGCTAGCATCATAGGAAAGCACCACCAATTCTGGGTCAGTGAAAATTTTCAATTGTGCCAAATATGGAGCTCTTTTGTTATTGTTGTTGTTGTTATGAACATCCAGTTTTTCCAGCACCATCTGTTGAAATGTTTTTCTTTCTCCAATGAGTTGCTTTTGCATCTTTATGAAATTAGCTATTCATATATGTGTGGGCTTATTCCTGACCTCTTCATCCTGTTACTTTGATTTATCTATCTTTATGCCAATACACACTTTTGTTGATTTACCTTTATAGTGAATCCTGATATTAGGTAATGGTATCCCTCCAACTTTGTTTTTCATTTAAAGTTATAGGTCTTTGAATTTCCGTGTGTTTTAGAACCAGCTTGTGAAAATTCATAATAATGTTCTGCTGGAAAATGATTGGATTGTTTTGTATCTATGGATGAATTTCTCAAGAATTGATATATTCACAATCTTGAGCAACAACCCATGAACAAGAAATTTCTCTCAGTAGGTCTTCTTAAATGTCTCTTGGAATTTTTTTTTTTTTGTAAGTTTTCAGTGTATAGGTTCTGTACATCTTTAGTCAGAATTATCCCTAAGTATTTCTACTTTGGGATACTATTATTAATGGTTTTGTTCTCACTGGTTCTAGTAACTTTTGAATAGATTCCAAAGGCTTTTCTACATATAGACCATGTTGTTGTTGAGTACATGAATAATTTTCAGAGATTCTTGTTAATTATTTTCTATTAAACTCTATTGCGATCACAGGAAATACATAGTGTGAATAACTTGAATTATTTCGATTTTATTGATATTTATTTTGTGACCTAAAGTAGGATTATTTTCATAAATGTTATGTATGCATTTCAGAAAAACATGTTGGGTGGAGTGTTCTGTAAATGTCAATTAGATCAAGTTGGATAGTGTATTTTTCAAAGCTACTATAATTTTTCTGATTTTTCTGCCTAATCGTTCCATGATTTATTGAGACAGGAGTATTAATATATAAGACTGTGGATTTGTCTATTTTTTGTGTGTGTGTTATGCTATTTCAGTTTTTGTTTCATGTGTCTTTAAACTCTGTTACCAGATATAGGTACACCAACATGTAGAATTGTCATCTTCTCAATTGCTTTCTTACTTTTCACCTTAATTCTTTCCTCTGAAATCTGCTTCACCTGATATAATTATTAATCACTTGAGCTTTTCCATGAGTAAAATTAGTATTAATGTCTTTTGACTTATTTTTTCTTTTACTATTTACATATCATATTCAAAGGACATTATTATACACAGAATATAATTGAGTCTTGCTTTTTTATTCTACTCTAACAATCTCTTTCAAGTGGAGTAATTAGATCATTTACATTTAATGTGATTATTGGTAAGGTTGTCATTGTATTTGATTTTTATCTGTCCCATCTGTTGTTTACTTTATAGATTAATCAAGCATTTTGTATGATTCCAATAGATCTCCTTTGTTGGCTTATTCCTGTAACTCTGTTTTATTGGGTTTTGATGGACATGTTTGTAATTATTATATCTCCTTTTCTTGCTGAAATTAACTTTACCATTGAACTACATCCTCAGCTCTTTTTATATTTTAATTTGAGACTGGATCTCACCTAGTGGCTGAGGCTTTCACTAGATTGCTGAGGGTGGCCTCAAACTTGCAATCCTCCTGTCTCAGTCTCCCAAGTTCCTGGGATTACAGACATGCACCACTGAGCCCCGATGTATCTTCTTGATAATTGACACTTTTATAAATAAATAATGACCTTTTTGTCTTAAACAGTTTTTGGACTTAAACATTATTTTGTTTGATATTAGTATAGGAACCCAGTTGTCTTTAGATTACTATTTACATGAAAAACTTTTTCATTCTTTAACTTCAGACTTTCTGTCTTTGGATCTAACGTCAGTCCCTTGTAGGTTGCATATGTTGGATCATGTTTTTAAAAAATCCCTTCTGCCAGTCTCTTTCTCTTGGATAGTACAGTTCACTTACACTTAATGTAATTACTGAAAAGAACGAATTTACTTTTGACATTTTTGCTACTTGTTTCTATATGTCTTATATCCTTCCCCCTCATTTTCTTCAGTACTGCCTTCCTTGATTAAATGCACTTTCTTTCTATTGTTTTAATTCTCATTTCTGTTTCTACATATCTATCTGACATATTCTTAGTGGTTTCACTAGGGATTGCATTTAACATACTAAATTTGTAACAGTTTATTTGAAATTGACACCAAATAATCTCGATAACACCCTGATACTCTTAGATAGCTCTGAGACCCTGTTCTGGTTTGGCTGAGGT